GAGGGTAGGGAGGCAGCAGCTGGGGACATTATGTAGCTCAGCGGGAGATGTGGGTGCAGTTCACAGAACCACACGCAAGACAAAATACCCCAGAACTTTAGGGATTTGATGGGAAATGTGAAAGGATCTAATACATCACTGGATGCTGAGATTAATGTATGAGAATAAAAATATAATGGCTGAAAATGCCCTCAAATTTGATTTAAAAAAAATAGAGAAATTGATAGAACCAAGAGCCCAGCACAGCCAGGCGTGGTGGCATACACTTGTAATCCCAGCACTCAGGAGGCTGAGGCACACATATTTTAACAATGTATTTCTCATCAGAAACCATGGAAACAAGGAGAAAGTGGAACATTTTTTAAAGATCTGGAAAAAAAAAAAAGCAGACAACCCAGAATTCCACAGCCAATGAAAATACCCATCCAGAGTAGCAGTTCAATAAAGACATTCTCAGATGTAGAATCTGCTTTTTCTTCTCTTTGTTTTTTTCGGTATCAGGAATTAAACTCAGGACCTTGTCTTTGCCAGGTAGGTGCTGTGCCACTGAGCTACATCCCCAGCCCTAGATATAGAATCCGTCACCAGCAGATCTGTTCTGAAAGAAATGCAAGTGATATTTCTCAGGCTGAAAGGACATAAGACCAGAGGAAAACCTGAAACCCGAGGGGTGAAGAGCAGCAGCGGTGGGTGGCTGAGAACAGAAGTCACACAGACCCAAGGGAGGGACAGAGTGTGCCTTCTGGCCTTCAGGAAGGGGAGCTACATATAAGCAGAATTTTTCTTTATGATATGATGTGGCAAGTTCTGGCCAAAAACCTGAAAACTCTAATTATTACACTGTATTTAATTTTTAAGAATGTCTAATGTTCAGACCATGAGAGTATTTCTCATTTTAATATTTACAGTATTTACTTAAAATACTATTTATCATCCAGGATGTATAAGTAGAAAATGTAAGAACTGATTTAAAACTCTAGTATCAATTTTTAATATGTTTATTCATAAACCAAGACTTCATTTCCACTGATTTTGAGTGACATGCCTAGAAATACTAGATTGTTTATTTATTTGTGCTGCTGGGGATTGAATCCAGGAACTTGTGCATGCTAAGCAAGTGCTCGACCACTGAGCCACATTTCCAGCCCTAGACTGTTAATAACATTAACTATTAGGTAACAAGTGATTACTTTGCAAAGTTGGTGAAGGGCTATATACTCTGCCATAGAAAAACCTTGAGGAATAAAGATAGATCAAGAGTCGTTTTTAAAAAATCACTACCAAAGCTCGTAGGTCAGGAAGAAGATGCATTTTCAACTTTTTATCGAACAGACGCCTTCAATACCATCATTATTTGGAGCTTAAGGATTTGTTAGTTTCCAAATCAGATATGTTAAGTGGTGCCAACGGGAATTCTATTACACATTTATAAACTTGTAGTTCATTAAAACAAGCACAAAGTGTCCAAGAGCTCTCCATCGCCACACAATAAAATCGGAGTGTCTACATTTCACACACAGCCTCTGTGATCTCTGTGACCTTCTGGCCTCTGTGGATCCTTCCAGCCTCCTCTTCTACCATTTATGGCCTTTTTTTATTTTTCTAAATTTGGTGATTACTTTTTTAATCACAAGGTTACACTCCAACATATCAACCTACTTGGAGCATCTTTCCTCATGAGCATACGCTCTGGATGCCTGGGTGTCTCTGAGGCCTCCGTGTGTCCCTGCCTCCAGTGTCCCCTCCTCTCATCCTGAGTCACTCATATCCTCACGCTAAGCTCGGCTTTCACCGGCTCCAGGCAGCCTCTTCCCTGACTCCATCCCGGGGCTTCAGTCCCGCTCCTCTGCACTCCCCTGGCACAGCACGCTTGTCTATCAGAAGATCCACAGGTCTACGCTGAAATAACCCACCACTGCCCCCAGCCGCAAGGCACCCGGAGAGGAGGCACAGGCCCTCCTCAGGCTGGCACTGCCAAGGCCAAGCACTGTGTCTGGAAGTGCAAGGCAAGTTTTCAGTGTTCGTGAACCACCTTACACTTAAAAACTGCTGCCGGCAGCCCTAGAGGACTAAACTGAAAAGAAGCCGGAAGAACGCTTACGGCTGTTGAGGGCCTCCTTAACTATTTTTTTATTTTATTTAATTTATTTATTTTTTTTTTTTGGTTTTTCTCCGGTACCGGGAACCGAACTCACGACCTTGCGCTTGCCAGGCAGGCGCTTTTGCCGCTGAGCTAAATCCCCAGCCCCGGGCCTCCTTAACTAAAATATCCTGTCCTCATCTACTTCCCTCCCTGCACAGCCAGATAAACCCCCAGGCTAAGAGTATTCTGCGGGCATAGTGGGCAACGTGTTTCAGGGTGAAGAGCGAAAATGAGTTCCTTTTCCTCCTGGGTATCTGGCTCAGGAAAACAGAGCTATCCAGCCTCGTAGGCAACAAGGCACCGGCTTATAAGCATTGAATGCGCTAGACACCAGATGCACCAGTACTGCATCTGCACACAGCGTTACCCTGGTGAGAACAGGATGGTGCAGTCACGCTGTCCTGCACCCTAAAGTGTAAGCACCATGCCACTCTATATTAGTCTGTCTCCCCACCAGCATGAGGATTCCGCCTTACTTCTATTTTATAAAGAAAAGTGAGGGTCTAGAAAAGCCAAGCTACTCGCTTAGCTTTATTCAAACCTCACCCCCTGAAGCTTTTATCTCATACAGTATACCTGATATTACCCTTCAGTTAAATGGCAAAATCCAACATAGGAGATCTGCTCTTTATAATTCATCAAACGTTTACTTATTTAGGCAGTACCAAGGTCTGAACCCGAGGCCTTCCCACTGAACTGCATTTCCAGCCCTTTTACTTCTGATTTTGAGACAAGGTTTCACTAAGTTGGGAAACAGCCCAAGCCTGGGTCGAATTTGCCATCCTCCCTCTCAGCCTCCGGGAGGGCTGTGAGTTTGCGTATGCACCGCCAGCCCCAGTAACAGTCACTCCGCACATGCCGGGTGTCAGGCCCTGATCTCATCCCGGTCCCTCTGGCAGGTTTCCTCTCACCAGTCCCCCTGCACCCGTCCTGAGTGGGCCTGTATCTTCTAACCTGCTGCTCCACTTAAAGACACTGGGAATGACTCAGATCACATATACTCCTGTCCTGGTATTTTTTATTTAACATTGATGTAATTTGTTTTATGTTCAAACTCGGACTCTGCTAGTTATACCCAGGCAGCCTCGGTTTAGCTCAGTTCCCAGGGCTACAAGGCTTAGAGGGAGCAGTTTGCGCTTAAAGAAATTTAAGGTCAATTCTGACTTTACCATCTATTAGCTGTTGATGCTAGTGTTTAAGTTTTCTAATTCTGGTTGCTTTAGTGTAAAATGTGACAAGTGTCAGTGGAATTTTGTGCAAATAAAGAATAACAGAGCAGGGCTGGGGATATAGCTCAGTGGCACACGTGCCTGCCTGGCAAGCACAAGGTCCTGAGTTCAATTCCTGGTACCAAAAAACAAAACAGAACAAAAAACAAAGCATTATGTAAAATAAAAGTTGGGGACTAACAAATGTTATTACTTATTTCCTATAAGGATAAATTCTTCCTATATTCTTTTATATTCTCAGGCTAAAAATACTTTTTGCTACATAATTCTCAGAGTGACGAGGTGATAATAAAGTGATGAAAAACTAGTTAAAACAAAATTAAGCTGGGGGAAGAAAGCAATGAGTAGTCTGCTCTACTGCTACCACAAGGGAGGTACATCTACAAGATAAGACAAGAGTGTAAAACATTAAGGGACAGAGGTCACAGCAACTTGATACATGTAGCGGTGTCTGTGTAGCTCTCTCTTTGGGGTAAATAGACAGAATGAGACAAAGGGGTCCACTGCAATCACAGGACCCATGAGGTAGGGGCACTCAGCAGTGCTGAGTGGGGTGCAGCAGGTGGTGTGCAACGAAGTGGGCATTTAGCTGGGGAAACCTCCAAGGGAGGACCGAGTTACAGCAAAGGCTGCGCCAGCTGTGGCCTTGGGAGGGAAGACACTCACTGGGGCGCTTCTCAAACCCTCCTGTCCCACCCCCAACCGCCCCCAGGCTCCACACGCTGTGATTTCATTCCAACAGATCAGCAAGAGAGTTTGGGACACACACTGTAGGATAACCGAAAGAGTCACACAGTTTCTACTGGAATCAGCTCCACTGAAAACCGCGCACAGTGAATGCCATGGTCAACACGAAGTGAGCTTTCTGCACCTTTCCACAGCACGCAGGCCCAGAATGTGTGGAAAACCACGAGCTCGGGATGGCAGTCCACCTGGGACCATGCAGAAAGTGGAATGACTGAAAGCCAATCTGGGACCATGCAGAAAGTGGAACTTTCTCCCCTGGAGACACAGCCCAGTTTAGATCTCTCGGGTATGTGGGAAGACCCTGGCAGCATGGTCATTTTAAAAATGTGTGACATTTAAAATTTCTGTAGGCGTACCAAATGCTAACAACTAAATTCTGATCCTGAGCTTTCAAGCTCTTTGCTGAGGTACTGCAAAGACAGATGGGGCCTGCATAAAGGATAATGTCACTTTCTCTCAGGAGTGTTTGACAAGTGGTCTCTTTCTCCCTAAAGAAATTTTCTAGTTTTCCATTTGACCAGAAGTCACTAAGTGAAAATTACACAGCCTGTTGGCACTGGCTGCTACCGAGAACAGGGCCGGGATCCCTGTGCTGGGCTAGGAAGCTTGGGGGCCGGACCCAGTCTGGCCTATAAAACGTCTAAGGAATTAATTAAATCCTGTCAGCTTTACCTTTGTCACCTGTAAAAATGAAACTTTCAGGATTTTCAGAAATGTAGTTAAAGTACATGCCAATCCGAAGTCTAACGATGGCTGTGGCCAGGGCTGGGGACGTGACAGGTGGCTCCCCCTCCTCCTCTTGCCTGCGGGGCCGGCAGCCTTGCCAGTTCCAGGACCGTTTTCTGGGGAAGCAAGGCAAGGCACTCCCCATGGTTCCTCACCTTTTTCTCATTGACGTCTGCCTGCTCCTCCTCCTCGCTCGCCTCCTCGGGCATCTCTTTGATCTTGTTCAGGAGCTCGGCCTTGGCAGCGGACACGCTGTAGTAGGCGGGGCAGCTGACCAACACGCCCACCGCTTCCCTGTCTTCGCTCCTGGACCACAGGGACACAAGAGACAGCCACACAGTTTGCTAATGAAGTCTGCTCACTCAGTAATGCTTTTCTTCCCTAGAAACTAGGATGACTTAGGAAATATTTACCAGTAAGAATAGGGCTCCAGGAGCCTGGCAGACCTGCGGTGAAAAGCACAAGTCCTGGGGGTGGAGTGGGTACCAGGACTCTGGTGAGGCACTGCACCTCTTGGGTAAGGGATAAACAGAGGAATGATTCTGACTCCTTTCTCAGAAACACAACCTGGAGCCACGACACTGCCCCAACTCCAGGGCTGGGGTCATTTCCTACTCTTCCCTGGTTATCGATAATCTCTTCCATGTCTGTTGTTGTTTGGACACTTAAGACTTAAGTCGGAGACCTCTAACTCCTCACATATACACACGTGTTTCTTCACCCGTTGTTATCAGAGCATCCAACGCATTCCCAAAGGGTTTCCGAGCCACTGATGAAAGCTCAGGGTCAGTCGCTGAGCTTCATCCCAGCTCATCAGTGCTTCCTTTCACCAGAAGGTGGCGCTGGCTACCGGCTGAAATCCTTCACAAGGCTCAGGCTGCCCGCAAATCTATGGACCCTTTCACCTCTACAGCCACTGAAACAACAGATGCCCTCGAAGGGGATGCTTTTCGAAGACTGCACTTGTAAGTTGCTTTAGTTTTTTCACAGCGAGGTGTCAGGCAAAGAAGGCCCTGTGGCCGTGCACAGCGAGCTGAGTGGCACACCCAACACTCATCCCAGAGGCCCGGGGGTCTCCTGTGGATGAGCTTGCCCCACAGGGCTCGGGAATGTTTGCTAAACACTCGACCCAGGGTAAGCTGCCTCACCCCAAGTAGTCTGTTTCCCAAATCTGGAAAGGACGGGGATGGTCAGGCAGACTAAGGTCTAGAGTGAGGTTGGCCTCCGGTGACCCAGCAAATGGCTTCCAAGTACTTACTGCATTTCCCTCCCCAACAAAACACGGCGTCCCTGCTAGTGATTTAGTTAGGGTCAACTACAGCTTCCTACATTTCAAGCCCAAACTTGGAGGAAATGCTGTTTTTATTTAGTCTGGAAGCTACTGACTGAGTCTCTGTCAATCCACACAGCTATCACTGAAAATTAAAAAGAAAATATAAACCATTTTAAATCCTTCTCATAGTAGTCCTACAAAAATTGAAATATGTGGGAAAATACAACAGTAACTCAAGAGAAACTGAAAGCATGGGCACCACAAACTGTTCTCGGTGCTCTGGAGGTGTAGTTGGCACCGCACGTCCTAAGGGACCAGGAGCACACGGCTCGGGGAGCTCAGGGCAGAGGCTGAGACAGCAGCAGGAGGCACCCCACTCACATCTCTCTTAATTTTCAGATGTGAACAAACAGCAACCTTAATGCTGTGCGGGTGCGTTTTCAGTGTAACAAATAAGCCTGTTTCTCTAGACGCCTGTCATTTTTACAAAGAACGCAGTCAGCCTTGGTGGTGGAGAGGCCTTGGCCAGACCCACCACCTCTGCATGCTCCGTCCTCCTTCCCCCACAGGGAGCTGGGGGGCTCTGCGAGGGCAGCACCTAGAAAGACTAGGCAACTGCACATGTGCAGGGTTAGGGGCACTGCATCGTCGCCAGGAGAGCAGGCCATCACGGGCCAGAACACACACATGCTCCAGGGCTTTGGCGTTTTAATTTCTCTGGGCGTTTTAATTTCTCTGGGCTTCACTTTCCTCATTAGTAAAAATAAGAACACCCTGGTAGCTGCTTCACAAGGTTCTTGTGATGACGAAATGCGAATGTTTATATAAAGAAATTCAGGGGCTGGGGATTTAGCTCAGTGGCAAAGCGCCTGCCTGGCAAGCGCAAGGTCGTGAGTTCGGTTCCCGGTACTGGAGAAAAACCAAAAATAAATAAATAAATAAATAAATAAATATAAAGAAATTCATACAATGCTTGATGCGTACAACACGGACAAGCATTCATGACAAGTGCTACTACTGAGATTATTTCTGCTGCCAGGCATCTGCCATCCCCTCGCCTGGACGGAGCGTCGCTCTCGGGTCAGAGATCTGCGAAGGAGGGAACTAGCAGCCCCCTCACCCACAGAAGGAATTCCACTCTAAGTCCCTTGGGGCATCACCAGGACCTTACCTCTTGCCGTCACCCGCTGGATGGCTGACAGTCCTCTGCATGGCCTTCCTCTTGGTGCCATCTTCCTTCTGCAAGTCAGTATTTTGGGGAAACAAGCCTTCCATCAGGTCCATAGTTGTCTTCATTCTGGAGTCTGGATCCAATATGTCCGCCAGAGATTTGTCCTGGTGCACAATTTCCTTGGCCAGAGCCTCTGTTCTGATGTCTTCTGAGGTCTTCTGAGGGTCAGAGCTGAGTTTCTGAGCTCCCCTGGGCGGCTCGTGGCTGAGGCTTTGGGGCTGACTGGGAGTGGGTGGCCCTAGGCTCAGCTGCTGGCCAGGAGACCCTGCCAGAGGGGGCTGAGCACTCCTGAAGGGGGGTGCAATGGACTCGCTGGGCTCCGGACATCTGACAGAAGTCTGGGGTCTGGGAGGCAGTGGCTGGCTGCCTATCTGATGGGCTGCAGCAGGCGCAGGCTTTTCCCTTGCAATGGTCATCCTGGAAAACTGGCCGGAAATGCTAGGGACAGAAAATAAGGTGAAAAGGGAAGAGTCGATGAGAGGGCAAAGAGAAGAAGGTGAGAGGTGGGAAGGGAGCAGCGCTCTCCATCATTCCTGCGGGTGCCCTCCCCACCCCCCAGGCTCCCAAGGCCCTTGGCCTGGTGGCTGCTCCTGGTGAGCGTCGCCTCCTGAGGCAGACACAGTCAGTAGGAATCCAGTCCTGCTGAACAGTGCTAATAGATTCCAGAGTGCTTTGAAAGGTGGAGGTGAACAGGTCGGACCGGTCATTCTCTGGATGTTAAGAGGACACGGCCCGAGGGGCACACACGTCCACATGAGGTCTCTGTCCTAGAACCTATGCACTGGGAAACGCTGCTTCTCCATTCCTCCGGCTCCCAGGAGGGTTTCCCTAAACACGGACCTTCAGCTCTACTCTGTTCCTTCCCATGGACGTGGAGTGCTCTGGGCCACCCAGCCTCTTCCAAGAGGTGGCCGAGGGCGAGTACGCTTGCACAGTCTGTGACTAGGCAGGTAAGCCTGTTTAATCTGAGGGCTCACATGCAGACAGTGACACTGAAAATGTGACCTCCATCGGTAACACAGATGCTATTTCTGTCTTTCACACACCTCCTTCTGTCTTATTTCACTGAGTCGGAGCTCAGCTAAGGAAGAGGAGTGATCACCGGGCTCCCTAGGCCTGTCACGCGCATGCAGCGAAACGTGCAGCTGGGGTTTGCTTTCATCCTCACGCCCTCCTCCTTGGTTCCTTGTGCGGTCAGTATCCCCACCACCAGGGCAAATGAATACAGCAGACCTGCCTGCTTCCAGAGCTGAGCCTGTATTAAAAAGTCTCCATCCCAGGGCTCCTCTGTGGCCAGCAGGAGGATGATCACAGAAGCCAGCACTCAAGACTCTCCTGTCCACTCCCTCCCACCCGGCCCCGGGCCACTCACTCACCTGTGGCCAGGGCCCTCCAGAGCCTCAGTGGCCAGCGGCGCCTCACACTCAGCCTGGGGAGGAGGCAGAGGAAAATCATCTGAGCTGTCCACTGGGGCTTCCTGGTTCAGTGGAGGTGGGGGTGGAGGAACAGCATCAAATGTGGGGCTGGAGGTGGCCTTAGGGTGCAAGTCCTTCACGAACACTTCTTCCTCGTACTCCTGAGGCACAGGGGCGGTCTGCAGGCCTGACTCCGATATGCGCAGGGAGACCCTCCCCAGAGCATCGGGGTCGAAAGTGCTGCAGGAACTGGGAAGGCTCAGATGCTTTCTGCAGTGCTTTGGGTCTGCAAACTCGGGCGGCGAGGCTTCTGCAGGAAGGCCGTCCTCTGGCGTCACACGGGCCCACTTTACTGGAGGAGGCGGCGGCCGCTGAGGCAGTGAGGCCCTCTTCCACGTTCCCGCTCCCCACTCATGCTCTGGGCTGCTGGACTCACAGCTGCCTGGGCTGGGCAGCGGGGCCGGGGAGTGCCCATTGCTTCTCTGCGTCCCTGCATGAGTGCAGGGGGGCAGAAGCTGTAGCCCTGCCTGATCGTCCCTTCCGGTCTGCTGATCCGAGGTAAGCTGTGCACAGTAGGAGGGCACAGGTGAAGGCAGAGGGGAGCTGAGTGGGGTCAGAGGCGCAGCCCTGGCCTCTGGGAACTGCCCCTGTGCTCCGGGCAGCAGTGGCCTGGGGCCCGGCGCTCTACTGGTTTGCCTCTGATGGTCCAGGGCCCCAGCACAGTCATTAGGAACTGAGGAACCACAGCGTGCTTTGCAGCCTGAGCCGCTCCAATGAGGGGCAGGATGGTGGGTGAGCAATGGCATCTCTTCTCGACCTCTTTCTGAACAACTGGGTGACCTGCAACAGGATACAGACGGGCAGTTACAGCTCTGAACACAGGGCAAACACTGAGCCGCAATTCATTATATAGATTGGAAAAGCATTTAGAGGGAAGGAGGATACTGTACGTGCATGGTGCCCACAGGCAAATTAAAGCACCAGACAGGCACAGGTCCCTCACCGTCCTTTGAGGAGGTTTGAAAGCAGGCTTCAGAACACAAAAAGGAAACAGCAGTCAATTTCTTCAGCTCCTGGCTCTGGGGGAAGGATGCCCGATTCAATGACCCCCGCTTATCTCTCTCCCAGCCCACTTCAGAGGGAGGGATTACCAGGAGGGAGGGCTGCTGCAAAGTGAGACAGAAAGGGCTACTCAATGCGGAGGCTTTATTTACAACTTTGACTCTCCTAGTGTTGTCACACCCTAAGGTGAAAAATAAAAAACAAGACTCACCGAAGGGGCTGATCAGCAGTTACCTGAGAGACCGACAATAAGAAGCCAACAGAGTACATGGTGATTTAAACAACTGTCCTTGGGGGCTGGGGATTTAGCTCAGCGGCACAGCGCCTGCCTGGCAAGCGCAAGATCGTGAATTTGATTCCCGGTACCGGAAAAAAACCCAAAAACCCCCAAAAAATAAATAAACAACTGTCCTTTAGGCACCAAGGAAAATCCAGCAATTCCCGTTACTTTTGTTACTGTGCTCTGGAGGGGAAAGGCATGCAAGACAAAGAAAAGGGACAGCAGTACTGCCTGCCTGCGGTGCAAGAGTTAATGTGCGGATGAAAATATCCAGCAAATCCTGTCATTTGCAAATTCTGACTCCATAGTTCCTGACTGGCTTCGCCAAGGAGTCTGGCGCACAGATGGCACCTCTCAATTCCTAGATCTGAGCCTTTGGCAGGAGCGGTGAGGGCCTCACAACAGAATACAGTGCAGACTCTGCCACAAAGTCATCGAAGAGCCAGGAGAGAACAGTGCAGCATATGGAATGGAAAGACTGCGAAGAACCAAGTTAGCTCTTCTCTGGCTTATTTCTTCTTTCTTATAGCTGCAGATGGCTGAGGGAAAGGTCCACCTCCCTCTCCGATGCTACCCCTCCCTTCCCACCACAGATCTTCCTGCTGAGATGGTTTGTCACGCAGGACCCCTCCACATCTAAGACCAGGTGTTCTGCACTTCCTGACAGCTTTCCCAGCAAGACGCCGAGCCAGGTGACCCGAGAAGCTCTTCACCTCTATGCCATGCATTGTGGCAACCACAGCAGCTGGCACAAGGTCCTGTATCTGGCGGTTTGTATCTGGTGGACAAAAGGTGTCTGTTCTGCCCAGCTCAGTGTGGCAAACTATCGCATGCATGCTGCAGCAGGCTGTTTGTTATCACTGAAACCTCTAAAAGGTTCGCCATCACTGGTCTAGCTGCTCTCAGGCTGAAGGATAGGAACTACTTTAAACTTTGTACGTTGTAAGAAGATCTGAGTCAAGAGGTGACTTTACTGATGACTGATGTGAGTGCTTTTACTTCCTGAACTTGTATCTTGAAGCTTTAGAAAAGGGCAGATATTACAAAAATATGTAACACTGCTTACCCTTTAATGATCCAGCCTAATAAACTTTGATGTTTTAAGTTTACATTTAATCCTTGTTTACATGAGTCATACTAAAGTTGCATATTTTTGAAGGTATGATTTGAGCTAAGTGCTTAGATTTGATTGAGAATGCTTCTCAATGGTGACTATATTTTTTAGGAAGATTTTAAATTTTTTTCTTTTTGAGACAGAGTCTCACTATCTAGTTAAGCAACAGATTTTAAAGTTAAAAAATATTTTGTTTAAGCCCTTTTTATAATAGAGTAAAAACAGCTCAAAGTCTGTTGATCAAAGCTCCGAGTACCAAGAAATCCTAATTTTTAAGCATGGATTTTGAAAACAATTTTCTCTCTTTTCTTTTTTTTTTTTTTTTTTTTTTTTGAGAAAAGAGTCTCACTTTGTAGTTCAAGCTGGCCTTGAACTCACTATGTAGCCCTGGTTGCCCTGGAACTCGCAGCCATCCTCCTGCCTCAGCCTCCCAAGTGCTGGGATTGCAGGCATGCACTACCACATTGGGCAACGGCACCTTTCTCATGTATTTTTAAAGCATGTTTTTATTGTGGTAAAGCTGTAGCATAAAACCTCACCTTCAGAACTGTGAAGTGCACAGTTCAGCAGTGTTAAGTGTACCCAGGGGCTGGGGTGTAGGTCAGTGGTAGAGTGCTTCCTCAGCGTGCACAAGGCCTTGGGTTTAATCCCCAATATTAAAAAAAATGATTGCATAATTGTGAGTCAGAGCACTAGAACTTTTACATCTTACAAATCTGTTTTTTGTTTTTGTTTTTTTTCTTCTGGTACCAGGAATTGAACTCACGACTTCGCGCTTGCCAGGCAGGTGCTGTGCTGCTGAGCTAAATCCCCAGCCCAACATCTTACAAATCTGAAACTACCCCATTACATAACTCCCACCTTTCCTTCCCCTGCCCCTTGCTAATCACAAGTCTCGTACGTTTCTGTCAATCAGATTTGGCAAAGTATCTCATGTAAGTGGAAACACACAGAATTTGTCTTTCTGTGACTTATTTCACTTGGCATAACATCCTCAAGGTTCATCCATGCTGTACTGTGTGACAGGATTTCCTTCCTGTTTAAGGCTGAAAAATAGTCCACTCTTTGTATACATCACAAACACAGTCACCCGCCCCTGAGCACTGGTTCTCACACTTCTCAACTATCATGAATACTGCTATGAACCCGAGTGTGCAAAGACCTCTGAGATCCTGCTTTCAATCTTTTCATTCTTTTCGATATATACCCAGTGGTGGCATTGGTAGGGCTTTTTTTCCCACCTTTGCTATAAAGGCTTGAATCCAGGGCCTTCATACTGAGCTATACCCCAACTCTTTTAAAACATTTTAATTCTTATTTTAAGACAGGGAAGGTGGAGCTCAAACTTGCTATCTTTCTGCCTCAGTGCCCCAAAGTGCTAGGACTCCAGGTGCACACTATCACACCCAGCTGCACTACTGAGTCATCTAGGATATGTACTGTGTGTTGTTACATATAAGTGTATTTCCTAACACTTGCAAGAACCTCCATGGTGTTCTCCACTCCCACAAACAGTGTGCAAGGGTTCTGATTTCTCTGCGCTCCCTCACTTGTCACCTTCTGCTTTACTAACAGTAGCCATCCTCAGGGTCCGAGGTGACATTTCCTGGCTCTGGCCTGCATTTCTATTATGATTAGACCTGTTCAGCGTCTTTTCAGATGCCTGCTGGCCATGTGTTTACCATCTCTGGAGGAAAAAAAATTTTTTGAGACAAGATGCCTCAAACTCAAAGCAATCTTCTTGCCTCAGCTTCCCGAGTCCTGGGATTACAGGCAGGCACTGCCTGGCCCAATCAGTTCTCTTTCAATAATGCTTTAACTCATCATTAATTTTCTGTTTCTGACTTAACACACGTGAATCATCCATGGTCCTCAGCATCACCCTGTAAGCAGCAAAAGCAAATGGCTAAGGGAGGCTGCTCACAGCTGCAGCGCTGACTGTCTGCTGCCTGCCGGTGTCACAGTCCTGAGCGATGGAAAGCACAAAAGCAGAATCAAACAGAAAACTGAATGACTAGGAAAAATGAAAACTGGCTCGAAGAAACACGGCAAGTGGCCGCAAAGCTTCAAGAACGCAGTCCCTGGCGACAGACACTGCAATGGCAGGGCTGCAACACTGCTCTGAAGGTGCTCATGGTACATGTGCCTGTGGAAGAGCGCTCTGAAACCTTCTCCAGTGAAACTTCTCCATGTGAAACACTCAAAAATTTAAATTCTAAAATTTATTCATTATAGTTTCCTACCTAGGAGGTATGATTTTAAAAGATTATTTAAGAAAAAATCTTTCTTACTACTGTCTGTGTCTAAATTGCTTTTTTTTTTTTTACTACTGTGGATCGAACTCAGGGCCTTCACACTGAGCTACATCCCCATCCACCCGCTCCTTTGCTCTTGTCTTTTTGAGACAAGGTCTCACTACACAGTTTACTTGAGCACACTTTGTAGCCCGGGCTGGTCTTGAACTCACAACAACCCTCCTGCCTAGCCTCCCGAGTGCTGGGATTACAGGCATACACCACCACGCCCAACTCCTTTTTAAAAATTATTCTGAGGCAGGATATCACTGTGTTGCTAAGTTTCCTAGGCAAGGCTCAAACTTCCAAATGTTCCTGCCTAAGCTTCCGAGAGCGCTGAGATTATAAATGCCATGATGCCCAGCATATCTTTGAGCATGAAAATTATGGTTTTGAGTTGATTTTCTGCATCACGTGCTTCCTGTGGGCTTGTCTTGCTGTGTGAAGCTGTTCGTGCGATGCCCCTTCTTTCTCTATCACTTCGTCACCAGCCTTGATCCTCTGCTCATAGAATTGGAAAGATCAGCTACACAAGTGAGGCTCCACATGTGAGAGCCCACAGTAAGCCTGACAAGAGAATCTCCACCAACGACCCTGCGGTCAGATTTGTTAAGAGCCAAGCATTTCCTCAGCAGCATACATTCAAAACCCATTTTGAACAAGTGACACTCTCAGAGTCATTTATAAATAAAAAATAACAAATTCCCCACGGCCTAAATAAATTGAAAAAGCAGCACACGATACTATTTAACACCGTAACACTGCATTCCACTTTCCTACCAAAAGCGACAGAAGTAGTTTAGCCCCTGCAGCACTCACAGGCAGGAGGCAGCTTCACTTCTCTTACATACCTGGGTCCAGGGCCAGCCAAGTAACACGGGTCCCTCACAAAACCAAAGCCAGTGTCTTCCCCCAGCAGCGCACCCTGGAAACACAAGAAAGGCACCGCATTACTGCCAACAAACAGGAGTTTAAATTTACTGAAGTAATGGAGACAGAAGGAGAATGAACACGTCAGGGACCATGGTGGCACTCTCTCACATTTTGTTACTTAGTCCTCAAAGTTCCAGGAAGTCCTGGTAACCCCACTGACTGACAAGGAGAGGCCCAAGGTCTATAGTAGCAGGCAGGAAATCCTGTTTAAGCTTCAGTCTGTTTCACCAGGTGCATCCCTTAACAAGCATATTTCCCAGGTAAAGGAAGTCTGATGACGATTATCTTGAGTTCTAACAACTGCAATATGTGACACATGACGATGATAATAAATTCAATGAGCCAAGATTTTGAAATTGCAACAGGGAAATATGGGAGTGACAGGGCAGTTATTGAATTGTGCAAAATCTCAGATGTGCTGAATTACAGTTAGGAAAGACAAGAATCGGAGTATAATCAGGTTGTGGTCAGTTCTCCCTGGGAAGAATCTCACCTCCATGTGATATCAGTAACTGGGGACTCTTCAGGAGTAGCTTCTGTTTTTTGTTTTTGTTTGTTTTTTCCTGGTACCGGGAATCGAACTTACGACCTCGCGCTTGCCAGGCAGGTGCTGTTCCACTGAGCTAAATCCCCAGACCCCGCTTCTGTTTTTAATAAGGGTACATGCTGGCATCCTAAAGGGTTGACAGTGTAAACTGATAATGTAAAATCTGTTCTGTGTGCCCTCATCCATGATGGTGATTAATGTTGTCATTGATGAGACTATATTCAACTCTCAATTATGTATAATAGGATACACAGAAAACAAAAATAAATCCATGTGTGATGCCCAAACTTTACTATTCTATTTCATCACTTACTCTGTCCAAAGGGCTAACTGCTTTTCACCCTCTTTCGGTTTTTGCCCTGAGCTGGCGGTGGAGGTATTAACAAGCAATGAAAAGAGTCAAGGGTGGTCGTGGACAGAGGACAAACAATTGGATATGATTAATAATGGCGGCTGCCCTTGACTGTGTCTAACTGTGTGCCGGACATTGCTAAGTACATTGCAACACAAAGTATGTGTCTAGAATATTAAACACTTGATATTTCATTTATAATTTACTCGTTATAACAAATAATTGCAACCCAGAGAAGTATCCAGCCCACAGTTAAATAAGCTGGGATTCGAGCCAGGATCTCACCAAAGCCCAAGATCTTTCCGTGGAATTTCAACAGGTTAAACGGAAGCTGGGATGGAAGCAATCAGACTTGAATACTTTTTTAAAAAATGAATTCCAAGTGTTCCGGTTTGCTCAAATATCATGGTAAAGAATGGGAATTCCTATGCTCCAGAAACCGTATGTTCTCCGCCCCCTGCCCCTCTGCCCCACTGTTCTTTGGTGATGTGAATGTGCTCCTAATGCAGTCAGGTTTAAATATGTTGTAACATTCTACTAAGCCTTTGTGCTTCACCATGAGAATGACTCTAACATCTGTGTGCATATGACTTGACCCCTGGAAGGTCAAGCTTAAATTGATATTTATGTGAGTATGTATAAAATATAGAAGTAAAACCCAGTAACAGGCTATTGAGGAAAAATTTTAAACTTCCTGTCAATTAAAACACCATTTGGATGAAGGAAAATGCCTCTTCAGCCTAGGAGAAGCCCAAGGAAGGTAAATTCCTGTTGGGTTCTCTTGGTTTGATTTGGACATATATTCAGTGTCAAAAACTTAATTTTCCATAAACTGGTAATAGACACACACAGTATTTTAGGGCAATATAGGACAAAGTACTGGTTATGGAAGAAATACCATGTTGGTACAGCAAGTTAAACCAACTTTTACTTATCTAATTTATTTTTGTTAGTTATTTCAAAATTAATTTAAAAGTTCACAAGTTCTTAGTGTCCTGGACTATAAACTTAAAATCTCAATCCTTACTATTTTTAGGGGTTCTTAGTTAAGAATATCCTGATATCTTTGTGATTGATGAAATGTGAAGATAACAATATTTATTTACTTTAGGGTTATTGGTTACAAAAATAACATTCCACATAAAAAATCTTATTATTTAAACATAAATAGTAGTGATAAGTGTTAAAATGAAATCAATTTATTGGCTGCTATGTTCAGATATAAGGTATTTAACTCTTGCCTCTCTCTTCCCATCCCTCTTTTTATTCAAGAAGAGAGCATGGTATAAAGCAGTGATGGTGAACCTTTTAGAGCTTTCAATGATACCAGCAGCCTGCTGCAGCACGCATACTGTAGGCTCACTACCACTGGCAAAGGGGCTTAAAAGACTCTGGAGTCATGTAATAAGGGGTCAAAACATCACTCCCTATAGCCCTGGTGAAATCCTGTATCCTCTCTGGGCTTGGCTCCCTTTCTGTAGCATAAAGATAATAACAATATCTACCCCATTATACAGGCAAGAGGCTTAATTTTTAAAAATTTTATAGTATTTTATTACCATTGACAAACAGCTGCTGTACAGCTGCTGTATGTGTCTGTCCTGCATCTGTTAATGGGTGGGTAGGAGGACACCCTTAACCCTAACAAGAAAATCTCAAATTAAAAAGGCTTAATTTTATACTTGTAAATGAGTACAATGATTGGCACACAGTAAAAATTTGATCACTGTTAGATTTTCATGACTTCACATTCTGTAGAAAGTTGCCTCTGTTAATTAAGTCTGTTAAGCTCAAATGGGTACTTACGGGAGGTGCCTTTTTAGTGACTGCATCCACCAAATCAAGGCTGCATCCAACATTGTGGTGCCATGCACTAAGCAAATGCCTCAGCAATTAAATAATGCTTATGATAGCATCTCAAGCTGAATGTGAAGGTCCCCAAATACAGTGAAAACTGGAGAAGCCTCTCACTCAGCATCTGGAAACAAACCCACCAGGAGTCTTATTTTTCCAAAGAGTTTCTTTTTATAGTTTCTGCTATCTTTTAATCTATGCAAAGAAGAGGCATGAATTTCTGTCTCTGAAGCAGAATGTTTGAATATTTTTCTACAGCTTTGTAGGACCCGCCCACTTTAAAAAGTTTTCTAAGGTCTCACAAAAAATAAGTGGAAACAGCTAAAAGTCTTATGTACACTTGCAACTATCTGTTCTGCAATTATACCTTTCAAATGAAGAGAAATTAAAGTAGAGAGAACAGAGGGCAGCAAGTGTCAAAGATCCCACACTGGCTAGGGGGAGGCCCTGTATACCAAATATCTGAGCAGGTCTTAGGCATTATTTCAGGCCCAAGAATGGTCATTTGTCATACACAGAGGAAATGATTCCCATGATGACCTTACACTTGGAGAGGGAAAGTGTGCTCACTAACAGAATTTTGAAAAGGAGTTATACCCTTGTCAATAGCTTATACAGGTAGAGTGCAGGTTTAGTTTGCATAAGTCCTTCGATTCAACCCCCAGTACCAAACCAAACCAAACCGAAACACCAAAAGCTCATAAAAGCTCATAAAATCCTGCTATGTTAGCAGACAACTGGCAAGAGCAAACAGAATGCTGGGGATGTCATAAACTGGGGCAGCGCTACAAACAGACTCCATCTTTTGGTTTTACTCAGGCATGTAGTCTCTTCAAGATCACTCAGCCTTAGGAGTTACGATGAAAAAATTCTTTATTAAGAAACATTCACAAAAGCTCAATAATAATAGTAGAGTTCTTGGAATTTAAAAATATTTAAAACCAGAATATAAAATATAAGTACCGCGCGCTAACTGATTGTGCCACTGGAGCTTCATAACCAGAATATAAAATAATAGACCAGTTCCTACATGGTGATGTTAATTTAGTTTCATTTGAAATTAGTTTTTTATTTTTTAACCACAAATAAGGCAGATGATGCAGAGAATGCAAAGAACAAACTTTGCCACAGGCCATTTCTCCAGTCAGGTAGGGCTGGTTGCTGGGTGGAAGAAGGAAGCTCAAGAATTTTTCAGAATGTACTGGCAAAAAGCAGCACAAAAGAAGTTATTTCATTTTGAAATATTTCCTTCTTGACTTCATCTTCCCTAGACTAAATACTATCTAAATATGGTACTTACTTTATAAAAGGGTACCTAAATACTGCTGGATATTCACTTATCTTCTAAAAAAAGTTTTTCAAGTAATATACTTAATTGGAATTTGCATGTGTCTCTTCCCTACAACACCTACATTTTAACACTATTTCCCAACTGACTAGGCTTGTGAAATATTTAGAGAGAAAGGCAAGATAACATACGCAGCTGTCCAACCAATTCTACAAGACAGAATAATGGCATCTAATGGGGCTGAGTACCCTAGGTCTTTCTGTAGAAAACCAGGAAAGATTAAAAAGTTTGGATTGCTATGGAGTAAACTACTGAAGCCCATTAAACTAGTTAAAATTTCCTGTTACACATGAATTTTAGGTAAATTTTAATAGTAGGGGAAGGAGTAGCACACTGTTTTTCATTCTGCAGGGAGGAAAATAGCCATTTAAGATTATGGAATTGCCTCTATCAATTTTTTGTTGGATGGGTTTATTCCAGGAAGAACGTTTCTGGACAATTCTAAGCAGAAAGTATCCAGGAGGTACAGTATTTTTTCCCAGAAGGCTGTGTGTGTGTGCGTGCGTGCGTGTGCGTGCATGTGTGTGTGTGTGTGTGTGTGTGTGTGTGTGTGTGTATCTCAGAAGCACTGAAGCAAACCTCCCAGCTGGTAGCTATCAAATCTTTCTCTCACATGGTTTTGTCTTCTTAAAGCCTGAGCTCAGCATCCTGCCACCACTTATAGTCTGGCTTAATTCCATCCAGGCCAAAAGAAGTTCTCTTCTACTTCAGCTAGGCTTACACTCTTTTCTCCTGTAGCACATTACTGACCACCACTTCCACAGCATTCATCACAAAAAATTCATATTCCTTAATCAATTATGACTGTTAGGAAAGCAAGGGCCTTTCCGTCCTACTGCCTCCAACCCTGTAATTCAGCATTTTTTTTAGACAACATATGCTCTACAAATGCTTGCAGAATGCTAGATTTCTCTGCATTGGAAAATACGAGAGCCAGAGAAGGCTCTCTCTCCCCTAAGCTAACACACACATGAACTAACATCGTAGGTGGGATGGGAACTGTGAGTCAGATCAGTGAGCTCCAGTGGGTGAATTGCTAAGAATTACTCATGTAAAATAACAGACTCCTAGGAATCAGAAGCTCAGGTTCTGGTCCTATTTTTGCTTGAAATTTCCTGGAGAAAGCACTTTATAATAGTTGCATAGTTTAGAGTCTTTAACAAATCCTCTCCAGTGGGATTTTCAAAGTCCCATTTTACATCAAAGCAAGTGGGAGTCAGAGACATGGATTTGATGTGGGCCATATAATATACTCTAGCACATAGGACTGCTGTGTGGATGTCAATGAGATAATAAATGTAAAGCATAATTAGCCAAGGGACAGGTGCATACTTAGGTGAGGGCCAGGAACTCAATACCAATACCTATCAATAATTCTAGTTATTTTGTAGATGCAAAAGGAACACAAATGGTGCAAAGTTAAAATCTTCAAAATACAAAGACACCGTCTCTATTCACGGGGTGGGGAGAGCAAATGGATAATCCATAACTTTCTGAAGCTGTGCATTCTTGCACCAACAGGTGGACTTCCTAAAAGAAGGTACCCCTGTGCACAGATACATACATACATACATACATACACACGGACAAAAAAGTGATATATCTCCGTAACAACACATACATATACAGACTAAGAAAAAATTCATCTCATGAAAACAAACACTAACTTTCTGCATTTAAACGAAGCCTGAACAAGGGTGTGTATGGGGGACGGGTAGGTCAGCACCATTAACACAGTGCCCCAGCTAGAGCTATGGCTATTCGGGGTGGTCCTTCAGCTTGCTGCCCTCCAACATATCTGACTATGCTAATCTATTTAAATAGAAAATTAAAATGATGCATCGAGAAAAACAGTGTTTCGGTGTACTCAAGGGGCCAGGGATATAGCTCAGTGGCATAAGCACCTGCCTGGAAAGCGCAAGGTCCCGAGTTCAATTTCCGGTACAAAAAATAAATAAATAAATAAAGAGTGCAATCCTCGATGTACTCGAATCTTTACCCGGTTAAAATGGAGTAGTTTAGGGCTGGGGATATAGCTCAGTGGCACACGCACCTGCCTGGCAAGCACAAGGTCGAGTCCGATTCCTGGTACAAAAAAAACCCTCCAAAAAATGGTGTAATTTGTTACACTGTGATTTTACTTTTGGTCAATAATGCAACCCAAACAATGTGGCCCCTCCATTAATGCTGCCTGGGCCAAAGGGACCTACCTGTCGTCTCTTGTCTGTGGTGGGCGAGGACCTGGACCTTGCGTGGACAGGAACCGCCTGGACTTCTGAGCGCTCCAGCAGGTCCTCGGCTGATGCAGACTTTGCGGCAGCGGCTCCGCGGAAGGGTGGCCCTCCCAGGGTGCGGTCCGCATTTGGGGTGCTCGTCGGCCCCCCACGCGCTGCAGCTGCACCGAGCAGCTCACCCGGGGTCCGGGGAGCCTGGGGGTCTGGTCGC